CCGCTGCCACCGTAACAGCAGTGGTGGCCAAGAGTCCTGGGGCCCTTTAAATCATTGGGCCCCGGAGCAGCTGCCCCTGTTGCCCCCTCTCCTAGGGGCACTATTTCAGATTATGAGGGGGAGGGGGCAACTCATGCATGCCACAGTAGTGGGGGAGGGGGGCAAAGTGAGGACAGTGGCTTCAGCAGTGTTACTGAGCATGCTCAGTACAAGCCACGCAGCAAATCTGGATGGAGGGGAGACTAACCCCATCCACCCATCACCAAGGAGCAGATACATTTCAGCTCTATATAAGACCATCAGAATGACCAGACTGGGTCAGACCAATGATCCTTCCAGCCCCATATCCTGTGGGAGGGGGGCAAAGTGAGGACAGTGGCTTCAGCAGTGTTACTGAGCATGCTCAGTACAAGCCACGCAGCAAATCTGGATGGAGGGGAGACTAACCCCATCCACCCATCACCAAGGAGCAGATACATTTCAGCTCTATATAAGACCATCAGAATGACCAGACTGGGTCAGACCAATGATCCTTCCAGCCCCATATCCTGTCTTCCAACAGTGGCCTTGCCAGGTGCTTCAGAAGGAATAAAGAGAAGAGACAATCATCATGCTCCTTCCCCGTCACCTACTTTGTTGGGTTTAAATCTGCTGCCTATAAATTTAATTGGGTCGGCTTCTTGTGTTATGTTAGTGAAGGAATAAATACCATTTCTTTATTCTATTTCTCCACACCATCCTTCAATCTCTAGGCCTCTAACATATCCCCCCACTCTTTTAATCATTTCTTTTCCAAGCTGAAGAGTCCCAGTCTTCTTAATCTCTCCTCATATGAAAGCTGTTCCTTACACCTCATCATCTCTGTTGCCTTTTCTGTAACATTCTTAAAGCCATCAGAGGGGGAGCTGTGTTAGTCTGAATCTGCAAAAGCGACAAGGAGTCCTGTAGCACCTTCGCATGCATCTGACGAAGTGGGTCTTTGCTCATGAAAGCTTATACTCCAACACTTCAGGTACCACAGGACTCCTCGCCACTTTTGCAGATTAAGACTAACACGGCTACCCCTCTGATACAGTAGCACCTTATAGACTAACAGATGTATTGGAACATTAGCTTTCATGAGCAAAGACCCACTTCGTCAGATGCATGTAGTGGAAATTTCCAGAGGCAGGTATAAATATGCAAGCAAGAATCAAGCTAGAGATAATGAGGTAAATTCAATCAGGGAGGATGAGGCGCACTTCTAGCAGCTGATCTGGAGGTGTGAACACCAACAGAGAAGAAACTGCTTTTGTACTGGCCTAGGC